GTTACAGTACTGTTATTTATAAGAATACATACTGTTACTGCAGCAAACGGCCTTATTTTACATGAATCTGACAGACTCACCTTGCCCGGAATAGGTTGTGAAAAAGCTTGCCCGGATTAGGGTTAATAATATTGAGAGGAGCCATTTAAGAGATGCATTTACATGCAGGGTTGTTTTTTTGTTGCAGGAGTGCAGGTGGTAAAAAGGCTCGAGAAGCTCGGGATGCACTGCTCCGACACGACCCAGATCCACTTTGACGATGTTCGAGTCCCTGCAGATCACATCATTGGGGATGAGGGAATGGGCTTCATCTATCAGATGCTCCAGGTATGACATATCCCCACCTTGCAATAACTCCTTTACTCACTTGTTCCCATCCCATTCTGCACTCCTTGGACAGCAGCTAAGTTTGGCAAACCCAGTTCAGTAGGTTGTTCAGTAGAGTTGTCTACTGACTTTTCAGCACACTTACATGTGCAAAGGTTGTTACCTATGAATTGGGACCATGTTTCCAGCCATAGTGAAGCATTCAAATCATGCAAAACATTCATAGTTGGTTGATGAACTGTTATTGTAGTTCCAGGAGGAGAGGCTGGCTGGTGTGGCGCTGACACTCCGGCCAATGGAGAAGTGCATCCATGAGACCATCGAATACACGCGGCAGCGCCGTGCCTTTGGGCGCTCCATCTTGGACAACCAGGTCGTCCATTTTCGCCTGGCCGAGCTCTTGACTGAGATTGAGGCACTCAGGGCCCTCCTTTACAGGACTGTTGGTGTGTTTTTTGCTTATGCATTTTAAAATTCAGGATTTAAGGGTGCATGTTTATAAGGGGCATATGATTGCATTACATCTCATCATAATTTCATAGTGGAAAACCAGATTGGTTATTTGGGGGAGACTGAGGAAGAAGTGACTGAGTATTGGAGACTTTTAAGGACTGTCACAGTTATGTTCAATGAGTAGATAGATGATGTAGGACTGCTCTTCTTTCAGACTTGTACAAGGAGGGGAATGACACGACACAGCTGGCTTCCATGTGCAAGTTGAAGGCGGGCCGCCTGTGCCGGGAGGTAACCGACTCGTGCCTCCAGTATTGGGGTGGAATGGGGTTCACGGACGAGGTCCACGTGAGCCGCTTCTACCGGGACTGCCGGGTGATGTCCATTGGGGCTGGCGCCGATGAGGTCATGCTTTCCATCATCTCCAAGTACATGGGAACTCTCCCTGCTC